TATGGACGGGCGAGGGTGGAAACTGCAGGGGACAAGGTGCATGGGAAGCTGCAGATCCAACGCTGCATGTGGGGGGACCAGCGCATGGGTAGCTCGAGTTAGCTCAGGAGTTGACAGTCATGGTTGGACACTTCCTGATTGCCTAAGCAGCCTTTTTTTCCAACCAGATTTGGATATCCCACATGCCCTTGGTCATCGTGCTTGTAGTAAGCATGGTTAAAGCCCTTCCCAAATCTTCGCTCGTGAAGCCAAGCCATCAAGTGGAGATGAGTAGTACATGCAAAGGGGCAAAGGGAGCCCAGAGCTACCCAAAACCCACTGAAGGTCAGCTAGGTGTCCTAGGACATTAGACAGTTGACAGTATTTTGGGAAAGGCAGAGTGAGCAGAGTATCATAATAGAAAAGATAAGGTAGGTCTGAATGGTGGTGAGTAAAGGAAAGTCTGGGTGTGGAACACCAGGAGTGGCAGGTGTTGATGGCATTGATCTTAGCTGCTCACTAGGACATCAACACATCTAGGGGTAGCTGCTCCAGGCACTCAAACTGGGAGAAAAAGGACAATGAACAACTTGATGACTCACAGAGGAGGGACAGGACAAGAAACTGAACACGTATCTCCTGCAGGGTATATGAAAAGGCACAGGCAAAACCAACCCATGGTTACCAGATTGCAGGAGACATGAGAACTCAATAACTGGCATTTGCATCATCACAAGGACCCTTGACCACAGCACCCAGACACAGGCCTTGGTACGCAAATGCTAAACAGTCCATTTGATTACATCTTTTGGTATTCATGAGTATGGAGGTAAGAAAACAGAAGTCAGTGCAGTCAGTTCTGGTTTAAAATAAAGTTGCACATCTGCACAGCTAATGAAAATGATCACTTGGGATGGCTTCCCAGCCCTTTCTCAGTCAGCACAAGCACAGCTGGCTTCAAGCTCCTGCCTTGCATGATGCTTCTTAGGCTGCTGTGCCTCCTGGCACCTGGAGATGAGCATGCCAGCAGACAAATGACTGGTATCTTCTGAGGACAGCAGTGGCCAGGATACAGCACCATCCAGAGCTGTTTGGGAGATCCTGTGCTGAAGAGCTCTATCACTGCCAGGCACAAGGGCTCACTTGTTAACTTGCTGTGGCACGCCTCAGCAAAGCCTGGTGTGACCTCAGGCTGGAGACCCGTCACCTTAACAGCCACACTGTTTTCTCAGCTGAGCCTTTGCATTCCTCCTTCAGCACTCCACAAACTGGCTCTTAGCTCGCTGCACCAAAGGGCTGCCACCCTTCTGCCACCTGAGTACCTGGCATGAGCGCAGCATGGCTGGCTGGCAATGGGCTATGCCTGGCATCTGCCACCTCTGAAACCAGGACATGAGCAGGGCTTCTGAGTCAGTTCCTCAAGTATTGAATTTGGCCACCTCTTTCCAAACCCTGGCATATTCATTTAAACACATCCCTCGGCCTCTGAGCTCAGGAGGAGCGCTGAATCCAGCAACTGCTCTCCCAGAACCAGGCTCCTTGCCTTCAGGTTCGGAGGCCCTGAATTAAGGTTTTTGTGACCAGCAAAAGGATGGCATGGCACTTGATCAGTTTGTAATCAGCAGGCTTATCAGATAATGATGGCTTCTCCCCTCCCTTTTCCCTAGTTACTGATAAACTCTGTGAATACTGGTAGTTGTTCCCTGATACTGCTCCTTTTATAAGTGACTCCTGCTATTATATGGTTGTAGAAGAGGCAGGGACAGGGCAGCAAGCCCTCAAGCCAGCAACTTGCTGTGCTAAAAAGCTGACCCAGCAGCAGCAGCTGTAGGCTAATACTAGGGATTGTTAAAGGCTTTTTTCACACGACTGAATAAAAATGAGTGAACACAATACTCACCCTGTTACAGGTTGGAGAAGGAAGAACTGTGACCTGCCAGAGATGGACAAAGTTTGCAACAAATACACAAGTGGGAGGATCTAGTATCATAAAGTATGTTTTGGAAACCTTGGACTCTGCTTCTTTTTGTCACTGAGAAAGTAATTCTGCTTGTCTCAGTTTCTCTCAGTAAAACAAATGGGATACTTGCTACTGAGCTCGTTGAAAACGGAGCAGAGAAGGGCTGGAGGTGTGAAGGGTTGTGAGTGGTGCTGACTGACATCTACCGGTAAACTAAACACAGTTGATAAGGTAACTAGAAGCTTGCCTATATTTGTGAGAGGTCTGGGGATTTACACATTCCTTTTAAACATGAAAAGTTAGGCTTGCTCATTGTTGAGACGAATGTGTCACATACTTGGAGAGACAGTGAGAAGAGACACTGCTGGGAGCTTTCCAGCTCATGGCCGCGGCTGGTTGGGGCTGCCCTTTGCCAATGCCTGGGCCTGCTTTCAGACATCTCTGCCATGCCACTGCCTGCACACACCAATGAATCTGTCTGTGCCTTACTTGTGCTTCAACACTGTGGTTAGGACACTGCCTTCTTCCCCCGTTGGCTGGATCTGAGAGTGCTTTAAGGCAGCCTCTCCTTTAGAGTATATACCTATCAAAATGGGGCTCAGACCCCAGCCACTGTGACTGCCAACACAAGTAACCATGATGGTGATACCTCTTCAGAGAATCTTATACTTTTCCAAACCTCCTCCTGAAAATTTTAACCACCTCAAGGCAGAGCAGTGACACTGCAGTTTGGAAGGTTACCCTCTGCAAATTGGAACAAAACACAGCCATGCACCTACTATCATATTAAGAATACTTTAATTTCCCCATCAGACACATATCATCTAAACACCACCTCCCGATGGGAGGTCTGACAACACACATTTAAATATAGAAGCTGTATGAACTTACCATTCAGTTTATTTGTGTTATTTCTCAATCAATCAGCTTGAAGACAGAATTGACAATTATACACAAGTGTTTGCTAGGAAAAAGTAATTTCCTTGCCCTACTCTAGGACATATAAACATGACAGTGTGTTGAAAAGAAACAGAGGGAACAGTTGCATGGAGATGTATGTACGAGTAAGAGAGAAGATATTAATGCAGGCACAGGTACATACCAGTTATCCATAGGGCTGGTCTCATGGGTTTTTGGCATAGCTCAGGAGGGGAACAGAAACACTGTGCAATGTAAAGAGGGAGGTCTTGTGCTACCTTTCTGTTGAGGAGAACAACCGAGCAACACTCTCCCTGTGAGAAATCTGAGGCTTTATAAAGCCAGGCCTTACAGATAATCATTTTCACCTTCATTTTCTTGTCAGGACCCATTTTAAGATCCTGTTGTCCTCACAGCAGTTGTTGCTACATTAAGGAGCTGAGGCTCAGCCAGCAATGTATCTTCCACTGACTCTACCAGCACAGGATCCACCTCCTGAAGCAGAGAGCTGCTGCTTCGATCTCTTCCATGATGCCAGGCTTAGTTCTTTAGAGATCAATATCACAAGTATTTGATATCATACAGTAACACTGACTTGGGACATCACCTGATAGATTCTGAGTCTGTGGAAAAGGCAGGCGCTTCTTCAGAGACTTCAGAAGAGCAGCCTGTATTTTTGATTTTGTGATTCGGCCTTGATAACCGTAGTCTGCTACTGAGCCAGGACCTATCCAAAGGTCTTATAAGTGAATTTAAGGAAAAATCTTCCTCTGTGGCTTCCAACACACACAAGCACCCAATTCATTAATTGCAAAGGGCTGTGTGCACTCTTCGAGCCCATTACAAAGCACATAGCTCCTTTGATAATTACAATTTAGCGTATGGATTTTCTGTTTAATTAAAATCTGGGAAAAAAAAAGAAAAGCCTATTTCAGGAAATTCTCCTGACATAGGCTGTTTTCTCCTCAGTAAGAATAGCTTCAATGAGAAGAGTAGGAGTAAGCAACATCATTGTTTTGAATTCAGCTGGAAAAGCTGAAGTTAAGAAGTTCTTGATCAATTCTGAATTTAGTGGAACTGGAAGTCAAGAACCGTGGCAATGTCTCACAGCTAAGTCTTGTCGCTGACAGCAGGACCAGCAGATGGGAAGGGAGCTGTGAGACCCTGTGCTGTTCCTGCACCCACAGCTCCTGGCTGAAATCTAAGCTCCCTGTGGGCTGGGTGACAAGGTCTCACAGCCCCTTCTGGGCTCTCATAGATGAATGACCCTCTGCTTCAGTACATCAATATCTGTAGTGGTGACAACCCTGGAGCCTAGGCTTTCTGGGGACAGGGATAATCCCGAGGTCTTTCAAACATTCCCAGGGAGGCTTTCCCCACAACACAGCAACACATCTGTCTTAGAAAGGTGGCAGTACAGCATGCCAGTGTACAAGGTCCCCTCTAAAACTATCACTGCACTGCATAGCACACTAAACAGTGTAGCACTAATGAAAGTTGTAAGCAGTGGTCTGAAACAACTCACTTTTCTATTGGCTTTAAGCCTACAGAGCCTGTTTGAGGTTAACTATTGTGGAATACCAGTAATTAAGATATTTGAAACACATTTACAGTAGTCTTGCAATAGCAGCAATAGTCTGTGCCAGCTACAAGAGAAGTCTCAACAAAGTGAAAAATGCCTGGGAAAGAAGTATTTTTGCATGCAGCTGAAAAACTGATGTTCATCTCATTTGCACAAAATTCTTTGACTGAAATGGTGTCAGCACTCACAACTGCAAACCAGATTGATTCCTTGACAAATAACAGAAGCATCTCAACTTCAAAACGCAATTTAGAGAGCATGAAAACAGACAACATAAAGAGATTTTTTAGTGTCAACAGCTGTGTTAGAAACCGTATAACCAGAAGTCTGTTCCCTAATCAGGGACCTAGGACTCTATCAGTTACAATTCAGATTTCCTCCCAGTGACACTTGGGAGTCAACTCTTATTTATTATTTATCCATATTATTTATCCAATAAACTCTTATTTATTTTAGTTATCCAGACTCAGGTGTTAGTATCTTCTTTCCTCAAGGTCGGAATCTAAGGTACAGAGAGGGTTACCAAAGCATCTGGAAACAAACTTTAACAGAACAAAGGCAGACACAAACAACTGAACTTTCCCCTTCCATCTCACACTAACGATTATATTCTGCTTTGTTTATGTGATAACCACGTTTTTGTCCTGCAGACAATTGTGGGTGTTTTGGGAACAAGTTGCAGGGTGCTACTCTGGACACAGATGTTGAGAGTTTTGGGGTTTCTACTTTTCAGGAAAGGATAGATAAAGGCTTTGTGTTGGCCTATTCAGAGGCAAAAATTTAATACATCACTTGGTTCCAAATTTCCACCTACTCCAGAGATACAGGGGGTGGAGAAAGGCAGCAGTTCTATCTCTGTGGCATTATACACCATTACACTGAAAAAAAGAACATCCCTGATTTTTTGGATCACCAGTTCCTGGCAACAGTGCTGTGTCCAGCTGTCTGGATTATTCTAACAGTGGGAAACAACTGAAAGTGACTTACTACTGTGTGAGCCAGACTGAGAGCACTGGCCTTTTTGCTAGAAGAGCACAGCTGACTGTGGCTGGCTGTTCTTGGGCACCTGAGACTCCAGCACACTTGAACTGGGCAGGATGGGATAGACACCTTTTTGGTAGGACTTGCCACTCAGGTCGTTTCCCCGTATGTGTTCCATCCCCCAGCCTTCCACTGCTTCTTTCCCTAGTTGGTCTAGGCTCTGGGGGAGCAGATCTTTCTGACTGGGTTCTTCCTCCTGTGAACCAGAAGAAAGAGTGACCTGCAATGTCAGTAAGCTACCAAGAAGCCTAGCAGCACTCCAGGAGAGAAACACACTTAAATATCTTCCCACATTCTTCCAGAAATTAGTGCAAGCCTGCCTGTCCATTAAAGATCCAATATACTGTTTGCTGCAATACACTGATGAATGCACATTCAAGCATTAAACAAACAAGGAAATATTCATCCCTTTTCACCCTCTGTGAGAATCTCCATAGAAATGCTGTGGTAAAGCAAATATGCAAGCACTCAAATAAGCTTTCAGGCATGTTCCCATGAGGACACCCCCCACCCCCGCCCCCCAAAAAAAAAACAACACTCGGATGGGAAGGGATCACAAAGACTACTTTGCAAAAAGAGAGGCTTCTTTCTGATTCAGCTAGGTCACTTTGTGCTGTTTGTGTGTTCTCATTATTGAAGCCATAAAACCATGAAATGATGACATGGCTCCCATATGCCTTGCTGCCTTGGATTTTAAAGCTGAAGACCCAAAAGGTCTGGTTGTCTGGACTAGGCAGTCTTTGGCAAAAGTCACAATTCTGTAATGAGATGCTATGGTACACCGCTAACAATCTCCTCCATCATGTGTGATAAATAATTCACACACAAGATGTTAAGATCACAGTCCACAACACTGTCATGAGCTGCTGTTTCTGGGAAGGACAGTATAGTTATTCATCTTGCTTTATGCCTGAGGATAAGCAGGTACAAAGTAACTGAAGACAAGTGAATTGCATTGACTGCCACAGAAATGAGCTTGGCCTCAAAGGAGCTAGAAAGTGTACTGAAAGGTTCCATGACTAACTGGGGGGACATGAAAACAAGAGGCTTTGTGTCACTTTGCTTGAACAGGAAAGGCTTGATCATGCAAAATGCTGACCCTGCCTAACCCTTTTTGTCTTATGTTAACAGGGATTGAGAAAGCAAAGATGATACCAGGCCCTTTCACACAAACGAGCTGGTCACCTGTCCTGAAGCTGGTTCAAATGCATGGTGGAGGGCTACCAACCTTGGTAACTTTATCCAGTGGTTTGCCCAACAGGTCCTTTCTCATCAGCTTGTTTCTCTCCAGAACTTCGAGCTTGCTCACCACTGCATCAATCTTGGAGCCAATGCTGTTTAGGGACTGTTCTAGCCGTAGCACGCGATGCAGGAGTCTGGGGGAGACATGAAGATCATTTGCAAGTTTTTTATTGTAATGAATAGTAAGATTTGCTGCATACATCTCACAGGTAATGGATCAGACTTCAAAGAGGACTGAATGCTCTACATCAGATAATCGATTCATACCCACTGAAGACGTAACTCCCTCTATACTGTGCGTTTATCTGTAATTAGTGGCTCTGCTTAGAATGGATTCCAACCAGTCTGGATCTCTGTCCAGCCACAGTATAACCCTATTATTAAATATCACACATGCCTCTCCTTTGATATGGCCCTGTGTGTATCGCTCTGTGTTTCTCAGCAGCAGAATCAGGTTCTCCTGATTCTCTGTACTGTATTTATGCCATGTTCCTCCTGTGGAAGAAACAGCCAAGTGTCTCAAGACCTGAAAGATGAAGGCCAGCTAGGCTATAAATCAAGGATATTTATTCCCACAGGACCTTCTGTAGAGGTATCAAGTTCCCCTGGCCCAGCTTTCTGGGCTACATTCTGAGCTGAAACATGACAGCACATTGCCTGTGGCCAGCTGGTGGCTGCAGAGGTTATTTGAGAGGCAAAAAGCAAAATTTCTTAACTCAATCTTTTATGCGAACAAGCAAATTACATTGCCACAACTGTCCCAGTTCTCTCCTGACCTGCTCATTTACACGTGGGCAAGATAAGAAAGGACAAGATCATATTGAAACTGCTCAGCACTAATACAAACAGTTACATCAGGGAAGGAAGCAGCAGGGAATCAGACCCCTCATTGCAGAGGGACTGAAGTACTGCCAGCACAAACATACACTTGGAACTCTTGCTTGGAGACCCAGCTGGCCTTATTGACGTGGTTATTCCTTGCTTCCATGCAGGTCAGATTCTCATCCAGGTTGTTGTCACCATAGGATTTCCCCAAATTTTTAATCTCTGTATTCAGAGCAACCTAGAAGATAAAGAAACTCCTGCAAAACTGGATACTAGCTCTGTGCCAGCTTCACTGTGAATAACAGAGTTTCACAGGCAATGATAAACTCAGCTGCCACCAGGCAGAGCTGGAGCTGTATTTGAGTTGACTGCTTAGTTTCTACCGCAAACCCAAAGATTCCCAAGGCCACTTTGGAGTGATCTCTACCAAATAGCGTTTCTTTCCTTGCCCCTTTTTTTACCCTCTTTGCCTCTAGGTCATGCTTCATCTGCTGCTGCTCCTCTTCATCAAGGATGAGGTTGCCATCTTTGTCGAACCTGGAGAAGGCTGCTGTAATCTCATGGTCTGCATGGCCCAGTCTGCAAAAATGCAGAGAAAGCCCAAAGCACTGAATTACACTGTTAATCTCTAACAGTATGGGAGCACTCTTTTGTTTCCTCCTGCCAGTGGCAAACCTAAACCTTCCAAATGGGAAAGAGATAGTAATGCAAACCTATTTACAACAGGGTATTAAACATGTGAGGGAAGACAACTATATTTCTGAGTCCTACATCACCCATATCTTAGCTCTCCCAGTCTTGAAAACCAGAGAATTTAAATTGCCTATATTAGTATGAGAAAGGGCTAAGCAGACATCTCTCAAGCTGACTCACTTACTCCTTCAAGCTGTTCTTGAAGTCTTCAAAGTCTAGTTCTTTCGTTCCATTCTGCAGTGCTTTCTGCACATCGGAAATCTGTTCCTTCTTCAGCTTCAACCTCATAAGTGTCCAGTTGTAGCTCTGTTACCAAAGGTGCAAACAGACACAGAATCATGCAGGCAGAACCGTAAAAAATAGGGCAGAGCAGACAATCCAACATGGTGAGCAGATTCTTTGTGATACAGGGCCTTCCAGAAGAAAAATACAACACTGCTGAATGAGCCCCATCTCTAAACTAGGATCACATTTTCAACGTGGTGCCAACATGGTAGCCAGGGTCTACATGACAAAGCTTGCTCTCTGCCTTTCTCCTCCCTATTCTCCCTTTATCTGATCTCCGTCACCAGCTGTTTAAGATAATGTCTCAAATACTATTCTTTGTAGAACATTGGTCCCACAGCACAGAGAGTTGTGACCTTTCAGGACTTTTTTTTGAATTTGCCCATGGGAAATCCAGATGTAACCCAACAGATTTGCACCACTGTAACATGCCCAGCTTAGCAAAATAGGACCTGCCATTTTATTCACTCTATCAAGGACCAAAAGAGCTTTGTCTAGAGACAAGATAGTCTCTAAACAAGACAGGGATTTCTTCCCAAGATAGGGAAGAAAAGTCTCTCAGAAACATTGCCAGCATACTTAAGTAACAGAATTCACCAAACCTCTGCTTTCTCATCCTCATTACTAAAGGATCTGGGAGCTTGATTGATCTCAGAAAGGAACTGTGACTCCTGTATGCACCAAAAAGGTGGATTTGGAGGTGGAAACCACTGTTTCTTGTAAATTCCATGGAGGTGAGGGACTTCCAGAAAATGTTTCAGGATTTAGCTAGAAAGTCGCACAGCTTTCACTGTTCGTCACCTGCTTCAAAATGTCTGAGAGCTGCAGCTCATCCTTCTGGCTCGAAAGCTCCTCTTTGACTTCTGAGTAGGTGTCATTGATGATGGCCAGAAACATGTTCTAGAAAAAGGGGAGGAAGAGAGATGAAAAAGCATGAGGCATCTTGCCTGCCTCAGCAGCTGAAGCAGAAAGAGATATGCAGGACTTGGTTAAACAAGGAGCTGTTTCCACAGGTGGTATCCCTTGGACAAGATAAAGCGGGTGAAGGGAATGCCCACTTCAGCCACACAGTGCTTTCTCACTGGGGAGGAGGTCCTTGCAGCTAAAGCAGTGGCTGGAGGTACATTTGTTCCCAGTTTAAATACCATCTTTGGTAGCCTTTCCTGCAAGATCTTAGGTTACATTTGGATTCCTGGCACTGGGAGTTTAACCTGGTCATTATGAGAATCCTACTGCATTCATTGCCCAGGAAGCCAGAGACTGTCCCTCATGCTTTGTACGCTGCCTGCTACAGAGCAGCTGTACTGAGCCCCTTGAATTCAGCTACTGCTTGGAATACCACTGACTGGAATACCATTGGTATTGGTTTCAGTCAGTTTTAGTCTTCACCTTAAAGGATGTGAATTTGGCCCTTAATCGCCCTGATCATCAAATCCCCAATTGCAGTGACAGGGTCTTTGTCTACTTTGGTCTATTTGCACTGAAAAGCTATCGTAACAGAAACTTCCTTTCTGTCTGAGAATTTGCACTGTGCCTGATCTGGGGACTGTCAGGGTGGGTCTCTCAAACACTGCTGTCAATACAGGGGCAGCAAGGGCTTTCTTGCTTACCAGGAGCACAAAGAAAACAAAGAATACATAGGTGACGAAGTAAATAGGTCCAAGGACCCTGTTGGCATTGTCAATGGAATTGTAGTCAAAATCACCAAGAATGATCCGAAACTGGGTGAAACTGGAGGAGAGAAAGAGCACAAGGTCACCCAAAGGCACATACTTTTATCCTACATTCTCAGACAGTCCTGAGGTGAACCCAGAACCTGTATGCAGCCCAGATGGTCACAGACAAAAGCCAGAGCAGGGTCTAAGTCACTCAGTCTGACTGGTGTGTCAAATGTACCCATAGTATTTCACAGGTGAAGTGAGCTGATGTGGATAGAGCAAAAGGTGGCTGGAAAGTAAAACATGGTTTCCATGGTTGTCCAAAGCGTGTGTTTCTTTTTCTAAACAGGGGGTAAAACCAAAACCAAAACAACCTGAATTTTCCCTTATAAAGGCATATGACTCATGGAAGCCTTCTCTTGCAAGTTCATAAGACAAAAAGCTCAATCAACAACAAAAAGCTCAATCAAACAACAAAACCAAAAACAAACAAAGAAACAAACCAAAACCAAAACACAAACAAACCAACACTCTGACACTTCCTTGAAACACTCTCTTTGAGCTATTTAGTTCTTACCACTAGGATTACAGAGACGTTTAACCCAACCAGGCCTAAAGCCATCTGCTGGTATATAAAACAGCAAATTTGCCAGGGTCTCAGTGACAGGCAGACAGCACATTCTACTGACCCCAGCAGATCAGAAGGTAACAGAAGGTCCTGCAGAATAGAAACTGAGCTATAATGCTCTATAGTGGCTTTATTGAAGTGAGATACAACAGGCGTCCGACATTCAGATTTGCAGATTTTACTTTAGAGAGAAGTTGGAAAGCAGCTGAAATTCTTTTCACAAATGATGGAAATGTGGTTCTAACTTGTACACTTACATGCATTTAACAAAGGTACTGAAGTTTTCCACTTGTGTCCCAAAAAGAAGGTAACCCAGCTGGGCATAGGCAAAGAAGACAATAAAGAACATAATGGCAAAGCCCAGGATGTCTTTGGCACAACGTGCCAGTGTGGAGGAGAGCTGGGTCATTGTTTTGTTAAAGCTAATATACTTGAATATCTGTGAGAAGAAAGAAGAGGGAGATAGTTAGGCCACACCATGAGCTAGGTCAGTCTTTCATATTGGGCACATGCTTACTAAGACAAGAGGTTCATCACAGTACTCAAGCACCAAGATGACAGCCAGGCTAGGGGAATGGTGGCTTAGTGTTCAGGATGTTTGTCCCATGTGTGCCACCATTCCTGTGGGATCATAAACATATGACTTTGTTCCCTGTGTCAAAGGAACATATGAAGAGGGAATACTATAAGGACAAACGTTTTGAGGCTAACAAGGAGCCCTAAGTACAGTGTGGCTTTCCATTATGCTGAGATGCTTTGGTTAAAATGAAAAGTCTATGCCAGCAGATGAGTCATTTCCAGTTGTTGGGTGGCCCTCATGAAAGGAAAATATGCCAGATTATCCTCCAAAGTACTAAAATCATACAGGATGGACAAAGTTACATTTTATCCAGCATTTTCTAAAGCCAGTTTTACACCACAACATCTGCGCTCATCTCCTTGTCTGCTCTCTCCAGAGTGCTCAGAATGCAATGTGAAAAGTCTGGAATTACTGTAAAACAGAGCATATGGCTTTGAGGAAAATCCTCTATTATATAGCTGTTACCCTCATATACTCAGAGGGATGGAAAAGTCAACCCTAAAGGTATCTAAAGTAAGAGGTCTGACACTGGAAGCCTAGCACCTCCCAGACACCCCAGAATACCTTGATCCAGGCAAAGAATAAGTTGACTGCATTCATATTGTTGTACTGTGTCTGCCAGAATGCCAGGAACTCAAAGTCCGCATAGGTGTTTGGGTGTTTTAGCAGCTCTCCCAACAGTCTGTTCACCTCAATAGTGCGAAAGATGTGAAACCCAATAGCAACAATGGAGAGCTGCAAAGAGGAAGAGTCTGCAGTGACAACTGTATATATGTCTTTCACAGAAATTAGAATGTCACAAAGTTTGTTGGTATCATGCTTCACAACTGCAGTCTACTGGTGGGGGATGCAAATAAATTCATAATGTGCCAGGTGATGCCCTGACTTCACAGCCCCTCAGGCATCTCTATGGAAAGATTTTTTCTGAACAGCTAATAGAAGACCATGTGTCCACTTACTCTGCTAGTTCATTTTGCTGCAGAGCAAAACACGTGCCAGCTCTTGTCTTATCTAGACCAGTTTTCCCATTCCTAAACTTACTTTGACTCTTATACCCCACTGCCATTGCTCCCCCCAACAAAGCATGCAAGGATTCTCACCAGAATGACAACCACATCCAGGATGTTCCAGATGCTGGTGAAATACTGAAGCTTGTGGATACGCAGCTCCAAAATCTCTTCCACCACATAGTAGAAGATGAAGACACAGAAAACAATTTCACAGGCAACAATGAAAAAGTCCCATGCACTGACATATCTTATAAGCTTGACTGTCCGGATTTGCCAGGAAGGAATGGCACCACCAGTGGCTGGAAACTCAACCACTAACCTTGAAGGGGACAAGAAAATTATGATTCCAAACAGGAGAATGAAAGCTCTCAGATAATTATGAGAGGCATCAAACCTGAGCATGAGCTATCCGCCAAACCGTGAGGGGAAGATCTGTGCCTGTGTTTATGTAGCCTTATCTCTGCTCATGCACTGTCCGTCATAGAAAAGGGTGAAAGGTGAAATGTGCCTGGTAATGTCAGGAAGACCAAGTCTTATTAATCAATACAATATCTACTTAAATCACTCAGTCATACCCCCTTGGTGGATCACACTAAAATATTTGTGCTTTAAGAAACTGCGGCATTGAGGAAGAAGCAAGAGGCAGAAGAATTTTCAGTGGGACTTGGCTTACCTCAGAACACAGAACAGGTTGATATTTGCATTATACACAGAGAAATCAATGAAGACAACTCGTGTCCCCCGATCTAGCCACAGTTTTTCCTTCAAGACTTGCAGGGCTTCAGCAGTCTCTTCTCTGGTCAACTTGAGGTCTATGTAGTATCCTCCCCCACTGTAACTGGTTAGTCTTCCCCAGTGAGATGAGCCACCCAGCTCCTCTTCAGAATGGTACCTCCACCTGCAACAGACAATCCATCAGCAAAGGCATCGCGCCTCCAGGCTTGGATATGACCTTGTAGCCAGGTGTAATTTGACTGCATTTTCAAGGACAGTGCATTTTAAAACTAAAGAGTTAACAATCCCTATTTCAGATCTAAGCCTACATCAGGTCTTCATTATTGTTACATTTCTTATCTACTGCTTCCCAGCAGTGACAAAACATGATTTGTGATACTACGGAGGGGAGATACTGCACGTTTGTTGGCTATGCCACAGTCTTGTTTGCATGGAGGTTACTCCCAGGATCTGCTGTATCACCTTCTACCATGTTGCACGCTTGCACTGTAGAACATGTAGAACATGCATGTTCTACATGCAAAATGTAGAACACACTTGCACTGGTATTTTCTTATGAATAATTCTCATTTACAGCCAAGACTCATGTAGCAAGCAAAGAGTTATGAAACTTCATCTACGGCGCATGATTATAGAGAAATAGGTTTTCAAGATAAGAGATGCACTTCCTTCTTTCTGGCTCCTGAAATCCAGGAGGGGAGGAGATAGCATCACCCATTTGATAGATCTGGTCCCAAAGGTCTCTATTTATCCTCATCCTCTCAAAAACAGGCAACAATTTCTATCCAATTCTCCATTGGATTTTTCATGGCTTTTGCAACAGATTCCACTCTACCGCTCATTCTGCTGTGCTATTCCTCAGACAGACACTTGGCCTTAGTGACAGACAAAAAGGCCTCTGACTGCATGAGAAATTCCAGCCTTATGTGAGGAATTCACACCTAGCATCCTGCAGCTCAGCAAATCTTATCTGAACTAGAAGAGACTAATTTGGATTTTCTAATCCTGAGCAAGAGAAGATGTACTTACGCCGTTCCATTTATGAGCCCAAAGGAGAACTTTTCCTCCTTGTCTTCTGAGTACACATCATAACAACCTGAGATTTCCTCCTTGAAATCATCATGGACCACACAGGAATTGTTCTTCACCTTCAATTGCCGCATGCGTGGGACACCCAGCAGCAGGTTCTCATAATAGATGTATGACTGGGTGCTGTGGGCTGCCAGGGACTCGTTGTTGTACCACTTCGTCCAGTAAAGGTTATCCAGAAGGGGGCCTTGTGCATACTGCAAGAGGGAGAGGAGAACAACTTCATAGCCCACACATCAGAGGAATTTTCTTAGCCTGAGCTTGAGATAGTGAGACTTGACTCATCCCTCTCCACCTCCCAAGACAGAAAGTAGTGGAAGTTTGTGCTGGATGTATGCTAAGGAGGGGGAGGAGGGAAGAGCCTATAATATGGCTGCTGCACCTTGTTGGACTAATGAAGAGACAAGAGCCCTTACAAGCCTATTTGTAACTTGCACTTCAGTGAGCACACATCTCAAGGTACTGCTTTGGCATGAGGTGTGAATTATCAAAAGGGCATGTGTCAGTGCCCTGGAAACAGTGTGGGTAAGACAATAGTGACATAGCTCTCTGTACTTTTTTAATGCAACAGAAAAAGACAAAGGTAAGTGACAATTTCTGGCTGACTGTCAGAGATAAGTGGTTGCAATATCTCAACAGCATTCACTGTTGCTCGTATTATTCCTTCAACAGTTCTTTGACAGAAATGTGTTAGACCCCAGACATCTTTTCACCTCTTTATTCTCTTTGATAGTAGTCAGTGCAAGTTTTAATCCATCTTTTTCATAAGGAATCTATAAATCAGACCGGCTGAGGCATGAACTACGGGCAGGTTAACTATGTTGTTCCCACCATTGCCGATGGAAACAGACATAGGCCTGTTATTAAGACACCAGATTGAAGACAAATTTGTACTCACCACCCAGAAATCGGCCATGCTGCCAATAGACTGGAAGGAAACACGGCCATCCGAAGAGGTCTGCAGGAAGAGCTCAGACATCACTTTGGTGTAGTAATAGGCATTGGAACTTGTCATTCCATACGTCACTGTTAGAGAAGGACAAGAGGAGGGTCTTCCCTTATACCTCTATATTGGACCCTGATGTAAATATATCTATATATTCACTTTCCATGTAATATATACCATCAAAGGTAAGCTGTGCAAGGCACAAAAGAAGAAATCTTGGGAACTCTAATCATATTACTTTATATTTTCTTAGGGATTTATGAACTTATCTGTTGCATGTTCCAGAATTTAAACTGTCAGATTGACAGACTATAAGAGTTTAGAAGCAAGAGAGGACCACTGGATGGTGCAACTCAACATCCTGGGTAATGATTTTTGTCCTCTGACAAAATTTCTAGGAGAAATTTTCTTTTTCAGAGCAAAATCCATGATCTTTATTTTGAATTTCTTATGTGAATCCATGAAGGTATAGAGACCACCCCATTTTCCCAAGTGAAAAGCTCTAGGTAAGTTCTCATCTACCAAGAAACCTCAAACAAGAACAGACTCTAACTTCCACAAGTATGTTGTTTCAACTCCTCAGTGCTCCTTCCTTCAGAAAAACATCCATCATGTAAGAATATGTCCTACTCTTATAAGCACACCATGGAAATAAAGCAGCTGACGTTCAAGACCCTCACCACCACCACCACTTCTGGATGAGTCAGTGTGAGACCACACATATGTCTGTGTGTGTCTCTTGGTTCTTTAGGAAGTGACTGAAAAACTGTCTCCCTGGGCAACTGTGACAATAACTTCTGTGGGTATTGTCTGCCTATCACTCCTGCCATAGGATCCATGAAATATAACCCTCTTCACTGTCCCATTCTACAGGTGCTCATTTGTGATAATGAATGAACCTTCCTCCCAGAGCAAACAGCCATTCTTCTACCTACACAAAGTCCATTAGCATTCAGTACAGGGACGCATTAAATCCACCCTAGAGCAACAGTGTGAGCTGCCATCTGCTTTATCACCTCAGCCACCCCTCCAGTCTCAGAGAGGAAAAATCTCTATGAACTTTGAGTCTTTGATCCCAGGAAGTTTCTAGAGCTGCCCTCTGGGTCTTGAATGTTTGCTGTGAAACTAAGAAAAGACGCTGGACCCAGATTCTCCCAGGACTGTGGAGTCAATGGCTAGAACTGATAATGCGGATCAGGAAATACTGCTTAAACCTAACCAATATGAATTAGGTCTAGAGCAATAGTCAGTTATTTTACTTCTGTGTGCAGCAGCTATTCTGTAGGTTAATGACACACCAGCTTGATGCAGTGAGCGCTTGTACAATAAATTTAACACCTACAGCAAAGTGATGAAGTCTAATAATAAAACCTCACATTATTCACCTCGTGCTGCACACAGGAAAGACACCTGTGAGATATGACAGCTACTTACGTAGACAGATGTCCATCAAGAACACAGTATAGACCAGCAGTTCTCGCAGTGTGGTTTTCACATAAAGCTCTCTGTTTTCAGCTGTGTTCTCTGTCAGTGTAGTGCCCCACAGACCTGTTGGGTGTAAAGAAGAAATTGGAGAGGTTTGATGACCATTTTCAAAGGCCATGTGAGAAGCTGAAGTCCTGTTCCCAAAGAACACTGTTGGGAGTTGTTTTTTTGTCACTTTTCAAGGCAAAACCACTTTTCATTTCAAAACTTGTTTAAGAGCTGTAAAAATGTGTTAACCTCTAAAAAGAACTATTCCATCATGAACAAAAGGTTGGGGACTGACAAACTGAAATATATTGGCTATTTTTATTTTGCTATATCCCTCTCCAGTTTTCTGTTTGAGCTCATTATGGGCTGATCTTTTCCTGCCTGTTTTACAGCTTACTCTTTGCAGAAATTCAGTCTTTGTCAGAAATATTCTTGGAACCATAAAATTTCATCTCAGTCACCAATGTGCCAACAGCTGACCTTCTGATAGGACTTTTACAGCAGAACTACATCTAATGTCAGCTTTACAGCTATTAGTCTCTTCAGCATATATTGAATCATCAGGCCCCAAATATTTGTCCCTTGCTTAACTAAAAACTCTCACAGATTTCTTGTAGGTCATAAGACTCAAATAGCCCAACTCAATATTTTCAGCATAAAATTTAGAGCCAAATTATCTGCAGGATGTCTGTCAATGGAACTCTGCTGACTCCAATAGAGTTCTGCCAGTCACACCAGATAGTGGTCTGATTTCTTCACACAGTCAAAGCAATTCATTAAACATCACCAGGGTTGATCAAAAAGGGAGAAATGCTTCCTTTAAAAGGAACCTTGATAGCTTGGGTTTGATGAACCGCCTGATACTATTAGTGCATTTGTTTGTTCTTTTCGTAATGGGTTTCTGTTGTGATTTCTGAAATGCTCCTGAAGTTAAAAGGCAAAAGAACTTCCACTTAAAAGCCTAGTGATGGAAGCCATATCAATAATACCCATAGTTTTGCTGATTTTTGCATCTCCTAGAGAGCTCAGCCCTTATGCCCATTACCAGTAGTATGGAAGAGTCATCTTCCTGCAAGCCAGGATCAAAGATGATGAAAGGTCATGTGTTTGAAGTCATCCCTGGCAGAGGACAAAGCACTTCTTTCTTTGGAAGTGATCTTTATATATATCTTTGGAAAATGATATAGCAGTCCATGCACATATACATACACCTATCTTTTCAATAGCTCTTTGGCATCTCAACAGATTATACAGCTTTTTGCACCTTCAGCTATTGCAGCATACGCCCTTACTCCAGCAGCTTGTTCTGGACATGCCAGACCAGCAAAAAAAACAACATCCTGGAGAAGATCATCTCATGTGCTCTACAGGAATCTTCACAAGGGAGAAAAACAGGGGAAACAACCCACCCATCTGTTCAGGTCACATTTAAATTACCCCCTTCATGTCTAGATGACTACAACACAGTCTTTGAACAGATTTTATTTGCTTTTTTCATGAGGCAGGGATCCCATACTATCCTCATGTTGGAAACAGAGGCACAGGCTTTCTTTGCTTTGGGAGTAGAAGTGTACTCGGGAACACCTAAATTCAGGGACACTTAAATATCCTTGAAAACTTGGTTCAGAGACTTACCTAAAATTATAGCTGGAGGACCAGAGGGACTCTTCATCGGGGACTGTAGTGATAGGACAAGAGCCAATAGGTTTAAACTTAAATAGGGTAAATTCAGGTTAGATATGGGGAAGAAGTTCTTTACTGTGAGAGTGGTGAGGCACTGAACAGGTTGTCCAAAGAAGTGGTGAATGCTCCATCCCTGACATTGTTCTAGGCCAGGCTGGACAGAGCCTTGAGTGACATGGTCTAGTGTGAGGTGTCCCTGGTGGCAGGACACACAGCTGAAACAGTTGTCGAAAAAGGATATGCTGCCGTGTCCTGACAGGTATTTTTATTTGCATGCTCCACTTTCAACCCTTGCATGTCACAAATATTATATATTTTGATGTTATAGATTTTCTTTTTTTTCCATTTTAAGACTCAGACAATGGCTAGAAGAAAGGATATCAGAATAAAACAAGTAAATGGCACACATCCTCTGAGCAATCTGTAATTACCTACCACCTCCACACAGCACTGCTTCTCAGTCAGGAGAAACCTCTGAAGGCTCAGCTGTGGTTTGTATAAGAATTAAGTGTTAGATGTAATGACAATGACAAGTAAGAAAGAATTGATCATAGAGGGTATGTGAAATTCAGGACCAAGTTATACTGCTATTCTCTCACATGTACTGTTACAGCTCTGAGAAAGGTTCTTGCCTTTCAAGTCAGGAAGAAAAGACACACTGGCAAGAAAATAATAATTTCCGCAAGAAGTACACCTTCTTGCTTTGTCTTCCCTGCTTTTAAGAAACTGTTCAACAAATGCTCTTGCCCAGGGCTGTATCCTTCCAGAAGACCTGATTTTCTCCCAGGTTTTTAATTGCCTCTTAATAAGCTTTCAGAATATTTCATTCCCCTTTGTGTTTTAAGATGGAAAATAACACCTCTTTCTATCAGCTTTCTTTCAAGCAAAGTCTTGTTTGACACAAAGCTGCTATCCTCTGCATTTCAGCTTTGACATGGCTAGATTTTCTCTGGTGGATATTTACATCAGTTCTGAAGTTACTGTAACACAGGGGCCAGTACCACTCCATTTAGAAAATGTACATAGAGGCAGAATAGTTTCATCAGAGTGATGGCTCCTGTGGATTCAGGACACCTAAGATCTGTCTAAAGCTCTGCTAACAGATTCACTGCATGAACCTGAGCACATCACAAAGTCTCTGTCTGCATCTTCTGCCTTGTACTAAATATAACAGGACAGATCCTGGAGCTACAGCAAGGCACATGGAATGAGGATGATCCTTCCCAGACAGCCAAAGATGATCTCTAGAATAATACTAGTCTATGTTGAGCAGATTCCTGGGCCACACAGGGTTTCTACCTTCATCCCCACACTCACACACGCACCCCACTAAAGCATCACTCTTCCCAAGGACTAGTAAAGCCTTTCTAGTGAGAAGTCAGATCTTTACCTCGGATGCCTCTGAAGATGTACAGGCAGCACCTGAGGAAAGGACTTGCATTGCCATCCACAGCTTTACTCTGCTCTTCCTGGTAGGGCAGTGGATCCCCCACCTCTTCAAAGTTTTCATAGGGATTCTCCAGGATGGACTTGGGGTTGTAGATGGCTCGAATTTTCAAGGAGGCAGAGGGAGAGCCATTGTAAACAGGGTTGTCCCAGGCTTTCTTCTCCACTGCCTCCAGTTCATACTCCTCCGAGGCTCTGAAGTGGCTCCCAGCTCTGTTGTTTCGGTGAGATAAGCTCATGACTAGCCACTGCCAGCAGAAGTACGCTTGAACTGGAACAGTGAAGACTGCCTGCCCAGGCTGGAGTTGTAAGCTAACAGAGAGAGAATCAGTCAATGCCAAACAGCTTGTCTGCCCTAGCAGCCAGAAGCTGGCACACCAACAGCTTCCCATAGGTAGCACACATCCCCTCTCTCTTTTATACTAGCTCAGCTGGTAGCACCTATCAGAGGGGTGGCACTACCCGTTGTTAGGAACCACTGTCAGCCCTATTATCACAGCAGTCCTGGGAACACTGGCACATCCTGAAGGCTTTCTCTGTTTCCCAGTAGAGATAACAGCCCCAGATGCTGCCATGAGAAGAGAAGGGTGCTAGAAGACGACCCCTGATTTGGGGGGTTGTAGGCTGGGATTTAATCTGGTCCCTCAGGCAGCCCTGATGAGCCCCAGGTGAAGCTCAGGCAGGCACTGCCGGATGGGGAGCCTTTGCTCCAGGGGTCAGAGGGGTCCTGAGGTTTCATTAGGCACCAAAGAGGAAGCAGAAACACTCCCTGGGAGCTGCGGCAACACAGAGCTGTACAGGCACAGCACCAGGCAGCACCAGCTGTGTGCCCTGGGCAGGCACCAGCCCTTGTCAGGCTCCTATGCCAAGATCACAGATACTTTAGGTAGAAGCCGGGATTTGGCCCAAAACATGATCCTGGTCAGCGTTTCTGCAGCATTCTCTTCTGTGTCTCACAGTTAAAGCGGGAGTAAAAAATGGGAGTAAACTTCTCACCCTCATTTTTGAAACTCATTTTGGTCTTTTGCAGAAACTGTGTGCACCCTGCAGTGCCTGCTGGCCCTAAGGAAAGCCCAAGGAAAAACCGGCATTAAACCAGGCAAAACTGGAAATAATAACAGCAAGGGGCTGCCAGCGTTCACCCACTGGCCAGCAGCAGCAAGTAGTCCCAGGCACTGCAGGTGCTGGAGGATGAGGTGATGGCTTAACCCTGGGATGACAGGCTTCTGTCTTGGTGATGAGATAAAAACCTAATGTATAGTCTGAGCATGGTCCTCCCTTGAGTGTGAACACATAACTTGGGAGAAGGTACTCCAGAGGGTACCAATGGTAGCTGTTTTCTGACATTACCCAGGGTAGCAGCAGGACCACAGGGCTCAAAGTTACAAACAAGGCTGTTTTCTCTGGACCATAATGTTTGTACAGGTGATGTTGCCAGGCCACCTGGGAGATGCAGAGATGTCCCCTACCTGATGATGGCACTGTTTGAACAGCAGTGAGGCAAGACCTTGTTTGTCACAGGGTACTAAGAGGGAAGCAGCTGGTCACTGGAGGTCTGGGCTGAATCCTCGGGCTGAATTTGGTGTCATTGCGGCCTGCTGTTTTATTGCTCCCTAGTGAAATGAGAGCAGTGGAATAGTTTCAATGGGGTGATTGAATGGAAAGCATTTGCAGAGCTCTCAAGCAGCTGGAATACTGAGGGATGAGACCTCAGTGAAGGGCCAAATGCCAGGGCCAGGCATCAAAGCACACCTTTAGGACCATACAGCAGATACCCCTGCTCATGCACAGGCAGCATGGCTTACAGTGCAGAGCTGCTGCTTTGTAGGAGCCTGTGGCACAGCACCACTTCCATTAACACCACATCCTTCAGGGCCCAGGTACATTGCAGGTGTGCCTTCTGGCTGGCTGGGGCACAAAGCAGGTGGTGAGAGGGGGGTCCTTAACCTTTGTTGAAAAACTGAGTCACCCTCCTAGCCCAGCAGCCAGATTGTGTCTGTCACCTGATTCTAAACAGCCTAACACCACGCAGAACAAAGAGCATCCTATAATTAAGGAAACACGCTGTGCTCTGCAGGCAGGCTGCTGTGACTCACTAGTTTATGCAGGTCTGTAAAGGCCCTTTGCCCCTTGTAAACTTGAGCTGTACCGTTAGTGCACACTTCAGTTTTGGAGGGGAACCTAGGTGGGTCTGTCTGGCTTGCAAAATGGTGCCAGGATTTCTTTGCTAGAGGGCAGGATATGATTTCACGCAGGAAACTGCTTCATTTTACACTAGATAGCACAGGAAGATATGTCAGCTTAGGAAGAATACAACCCAGACTTTAGCACATCACAAATCACCATGCTATGTGTTGCCCTCTCTGGTGTTTGATGTAAGACCCTGCAGAGCACCAGTATTTGCTAGCTAAGGAGCGACACATTTCTGATAGCACCTTTCAGCACTTACCGCACATCTTTATTCCTCCCAGTGCCTTGGGCCTTATTTGCTTTTCAGTCTTATAAAAACCAGCCATCAGGATTTCTATTCTCCTTTCTTTCTTCCCCTTCTTCGCTGAGGTCCATTTCACAGTAGGTCTTGTCGTGGTTTAAACCCAGTCAGGTAACTTGTTCACTCACTCTCCCCCTTCTTTCCCTCCCCCTACTCCCGGAGGGACAGAGAGGAGAATCGAAAAAAATGCAACTCCCACGGGTTGAGATAAGAACAGTTTAGTAACTAAGGTATAACACAAATCACTACTGCTACCACCAGTGATAATAATGATAAAGGAAATAACAAGGGAAGAGAATACATCATCTCACCACCAGCCGACCGATAACTCGCCCCCCCCAGCCCGACCAAGCTCTGACCGATGCCTCCTCCAACCCTGCAGTCTCCCAGCCCTTCCGGCTAACTCCCAGTTACATCCTGGGCATGACGTGCTGTGATACGGAATACCTCTTTGGTCAGTTTGGGCCAGGTGTCCTGTCTCTGCTTCCTCCTGGCTTCCCTTCCTCCCTGGCAGAGCATGAGGCTCACAAAGTCCTTGACCAAACCAAAACATCAGTGTTATCAGCTCTGTTCCCAGGCCGAAAGTCAAAACACTGCACTGCACCAGCTACCAAGAAGGAGAAAAATGACTGCTACTGCTGAACCCAGGACAGTCTAAAAGAATCCTTTCAGAGGTACCCAGGAAAGACTGTTTCTAAAACCAGAAACCACTATCACAGTGGAATTCAGCATGTTAAGACAAAGGAGCACAGCCCCATAGGTTTTACTGCCAATAAATTCCTTAAATTACAGTGTGGGTCAGGGTAGTTCCTGCAATGACCACTCGCCCACTGCACAGAATGGTTCCTCAAGCAGAAGGTCTGTCATCAGACCTGCTCAAACCCAGTTACAGGCAAACAAGAACAACAAAATCATATGCATTCACTACATTTAAGTAGAGGGGTTTGCTGCTCCTTTTGCTGCTGGCTTAAAAACGAGCCAGTTCTGATACTCCAAGGAGAGCCTGGAAATTTGTCCTGGGGCAGAAGCAAGGGCCAGGAAACAGCACAGTAAGTGTTCTGCTGTATAAAAAGCCACTGTGAAGAAGAAACAATTTGTTCATTGTGACTGCAGGGATGGAGATTTAACTCAGACACTGGAGAAGCCGTTGAGGAGGTGAGAGGAAAAAAGCCATGGAAGAGCTCCCCTGTCAGGTGGCTTGCACTCACCTGTGAATGAAACTGTACTTCCACACTGGAAGCAATCATGATTTTTTAAACCTTCATATGATTCTTTTCCTATGTGAGGTTTTTTTCACAAAAAATTCCCCTCATGCGAGGCTTTTCCCACACAGTTTTTTTCCACATGAGCTTTTCCCCACACAGGTTTTTTTTCCACATGAGTTTTTATTTCCACAGAAGTTTTTTCAAAGAGAGTTTTTCCCACATGAGTTTCTCTCCATGTGAGACTTTTTTCCATGTGAATTTTTTCCAGGTATTTTTTTTTTCCATGCAAGTTTTATCCACGTGAATTTTTTCCACACCATTTTTTTCCCCACCTTTGTATTTTCCACATGAGTTTTTCAAAGAAAGTTTTTTCCCATGCAAGGTTTTTTTCCCACACACATCTTTTTTCACCTGAGTCTTTTTTCCCCATACAAGTTTTTCCTATGGGAGTGTTTTTCCCATGTGAAAATCCAGTCTTTAATGTATGGAGAAGAAAGCACCAAAGACTTCATAAATCTCCCAAAACAACAGTACCAAACACCAAATTAGAACGAAAAAGCATTTCACCACTACCCGTTACTGGAGGACTGGGACTGAAGTGTCCACTCCATAATATAACCAGCTTCTATGTGGATTTTAAACAGTCTTTTCATTTTTCTTCGAGGGGTTTCATAAACATCACAGAGGTTTAATGTTTCCCAGATATCTCATGCTGGAGAAACCTTGTACAACACCATTATAGCACTACACACTATGCTATAGTCACTCTTATTTGCAACTGAAATGAAAGAAGACACAGCCATAGATGAATAAATTCAACACCCAAGTTCCCATTTTCTTATTTATGGTGCTATGTTTCTTCTCTTGGCTATAATCCATTTTCAGTAGTTTCCCACTTCCCAGCAACTTGACCTGAGTTAGTGCTGGGGATTGTGTTAAGGTGAGAGGGTGGGGAAAGTGGTGGTGGCAGTGCTAATTAATCATTAAACATCAGAAGAAAAATGAGACTTCCAAGCAGAGTACCTTGGTGCTGAGTTAGCTGTTTATGCTGCATTTTGAAACTTTTCACAGCACCATGTATTAACATAGATGTGTTTTCATCATTTTTCATTTAAGCCAAGTCTTCTCTGGCTATCTCCACCTTTGCATCAAAGAAGTGAATTTTCTGTGCACCCAAACTAGTTGACACCATTCATATTCTAAGAATGTGCAGAGGCGAAGGTATCAAACCATCTCATGAGAGACTCATTGAGGAACCAGCACAAAGGTGAGAGCTGCTATCTGCAGCCCAAGGTGTAGGAGCTGGGTTGGTAAGCACCTCTGTGTTTCTCTAACCCATCAAGATAAATCTGTCTGAATAGGAAAAGGTATAGAGGGAGCAAAGTGCATCTTAGTAAAGCACAGATTGAAATTGAGCAACAGAAACATTACTGTGTTGTACAACTTACCAATACGTTTCCCTAAATATTTGCACATATTTCCTAACACATTGGAGAGGTCTCTTGCATTCATGTACCTGTGCAATGGCCCTCAATGCAGTTTTCACTGGCTGCCTGCAAACTCTCAGGGAATGGCAGGTGCAACTCTGGCAGAGCAGAAAGAAATGAGCATAGGGAAAAGTTACAAGGTCCTTTACAAGACAGTGGTCATTTTTCTGTCTCAGAATATAGTCATTAGATATGCTTGACCTCTTACTATGATTCTGATGATGAACAGCCTTTACTAGCACTCTTCAGGGTATAGTTTTCTTAAACCTCCATGCAATACACGTAGCTGTGCATGTGTGTGTGCACGTTACCACATGCACCGGCTACAGAATTTTCTGTTGAGTTACACATCAGCTGAAAAGCATTAAAGCCCACACTTCTAATCATGTGCAAGCA